CAGGTGGGAGCCGCCTGCTTTGCCTTGGGTCCAGCTGCAGGCTGAAAAGTACCTGCGATGGGGACCCACAGCCCGGTGCACTCACCCTCCTGGTGGGGGGCGGGGGCGGCGGAGGGGGCTGCTCTGTGTGTGTGCGTGTGTTTAAGTAGGTCCGTTTACACAAGACCGAGCCGTCCTCGTGTCTGGGATTGAATTTTCCCGTCATCGCCACGCCACGTTCCTCCCCACTCCCTGCCTCGACATGGCAATGCAGCCGGCGTGCGGATCAATCAATTAATCAGTCAGTCAATCAATGGTCACCCCGCGCTCCTTTCCTCTCTTTAATTTGCTGACTCCTTTTCTTTAAAAAGTCCCAAGTTTGCAAGACGTTATGTTGCCCAGGGAAAAAGGGTGGGCTACCCACATCGACACTGGGAGCCTGTGCGTGACCCGCTGGGTTATCAACCTGCCACAGACAGAAAATGGGTGTGTTTTGTCGAGCCAGTCAGGAGGAGACCTAGTCCCTGCAGGCAGGAATGAATGAATGAATGGGAGAAATCAAAAGTACGACCTTCCGCCCTCCCTTTCTCTGAAACACACAGAGACAAGCACACACACAAGAGGTCAATTATTAGGCCATTAGTCTTTACATTCCCAACGTGCAAGGATGCCTACCAGTTAACTGGGTCTTTATTTCTCACCTAAAGGCAGCTCATCCACCCAAGCCAAACAAGTCTGTAATTAACAACTCTGCCTTCTTCATATGGTGGTGTGCAGTAACATGAAATATATAATAGACACAATACACAATAGAATATATGCAGAACACAGACAATCAACAAAATATTCATAATACAAAAATTAACATGCAATGTCTGTGTGGTCCATGAGATATATGATGTAAATAGATTATAGAAAGAAGGCTGGTCTAAATACTTACATTTTCAATATGGTCCTAAGACTAAGCATGTAAGGAGCACATGAAATCTCTGAGGGAAGAAACTCTAAATGTTTGGCCCCCAAATGGCTGCAGAGAAGACTTCCAGAGAAGCAGGTGGTACCACTAGGAGGGCTTTCCACATGATTTTGAGGGCTCAGGAGTGGTCTACAAGGAGAAGGTTGTCCTCCAGATAATTTGGTGTCAGGGTGTATCAGAATGTTACAAACAAGTTACAAAACCTGAAACTTGGCCCAGTAGCAAAGTGGCTGCAATTGCTTCATCAAAGGTGTTATGTGTTGCCTCATCCACAAGGCTAGCAAAATCATTCAGCATCAGTTGCGGCTTCTGGATCAGCCTAAAGGGCAGCCCCACATATGGCATATTGCAATAGTCCAGCCTTAAGGTTACCATAGGTCCACTATCCCTGTTCAAGAATGGTTGCAACTTGTTTATTAACTAAAAAGGGACTCAAATCCACTAAACTCACCTGGATCATCAGATGTGACTAAAAGCTAATATGCTATAGTGGCTAGAGTGTTGGCCTAAGACTCTGGAGACCTGGGTTTAAATCCCCACTTAGCCACGAAACTTTCTGGGTGACCTTAATCTAGTAACACTCTCTCAGCCTAATTTACCACAAGGATTATTCTGAGGATAAAGCGAGAAGGAAACCTTGCACACTACCTTGTGGTTTGAGGGGAAAGTAGGATATAATGTTTTAACAAATACGTTTAATTAATTAATTAATTAAAAACGTTTTTACACCACTTTCTCCTCAAAGGACCCAAGACAGAATGTAATTTTTGGAATGTAGATTTTGCCCTAGATGTGTGTGTCTGGGGATGAATCACAATCTGTATCCAATACTGTATCCTCTATCTAGTATTTTAATGTGGGGATGATTTTTCTACTGTAAGCAATGCAAATTTCACTCTAATTCTCCAAAATCATGGTTGTGCCTGTGTGCCAAGGTTTTGTCCAGATAACACCAGGATGGAGAGAGGTCATTACCGGAAAAGCCAGGGATGGAAAATAGACAGTAAGCCGAAGATCCAAGATGCTTCTCAGTTTCTCGAAGTGAAGGTGAGTCTCTTGTCTTTTGGCAGAATAGCTTTGGTGATAGTGGAAGCCCTTCTACATGTTCTGGATTACACCCAAATCCTCCTGCTTTCTGATCTCACTAAATCCAGAGCTTAACATGGGAGTTTCTGTATTTGAACCAACCACTTTATCTGTACACCGTGAGGTATTAATGGGATTGAGGTGCACCATGCTCACACACTTCCTGAGTCAATAGCACTCTTTTCATTTTGGAGGCATAGATTCATGTGTTCTATGTCATCAAGTCAGAACTGGTTTACAACAGCTCTCATAGGGCATTGGAGGTAAGTGTGAAACTTAAGCAGTGGGTCTACGAGTCTTGCCACCATCCCCAAAGATGGATTTGAACCCAGGTCTCCTCCTAGTGTGTCACTCTATCCACTACACGACAATGGGTATTGTTGTTGTTGTTGTTGTTGTTTAGTCATTAAGTTGTGTCGGACTCTTCGTGACCCCATGGACCAGAGCACGCCAGGCCCTTCTGTCTTCCACTGCCTCCCGGAGTTGGGTCAAATTCATGTTGGTAGCTTCGATGACACTGTCCAACCATCTCCTCCTCTGTTGTCCCCTTCTCCTCTTGCCCTCACATCTTCTCAGCATCAGGGTCTTTTCCAGGGCGTCTTCTCTTCTCATGAGATGGCCGAAGTATTGGAGCCTCAGCTTCAGGATCTGTCCTTCCAGTGAGCACTCAGGGTTGATTTCTTTCAGAATGGATAGGTTTGTTCTCCTTGCAGTCCAGAGGACTCTCAAGAGCCTCCTCCAGCACCACAATTCAAAAAGCATCAATTCTTTGCTGGTCAGCCTTCCTGGAGCTACTATGAACCAATTTTGGCACAGTGTAAAGACTCTTATTTTTGGTTTTGTTGGATTTACAATTTAATTTGATTCATTTTTCTTTGATATGTTTGTTTTGTTCTTAGACTATGATTTTACTCTCTTGCTATATTTTTGTAGGTTTCAGTTAATACACTTTAAATTGCTTTATTGCATTGTGGGATTTTGGAAGATGCCCTTGGGATTTGGAGATGGGAAGCATAACCCCCTCTCCCAATAACAGATCATCATATAGGCAGCTGGATAATAATACAGACCAGTCTTTCTCTTTCCTCATTGCCCAGCATCAATGTACTTATGAGTGAAATTTAATTGTGGTCCAGAGAGGAGACCATTTCTTCTTTTTCAGATTATTTAGACACACAGTGACCTTTCTCTCTACATCTCTTTCTGCCATGACTCATCTCTCTTTTATGTCTTTCACAAGCTGAATACACATGAGGAAGATCATACTGATACAGTGGTTGTTTAGTGGCTGTGAGAAAACACATTGGAAACTGGTGAGTCTTTTGTAATTTTTCTTTATATAAATGGATGGTGTTATAGTTCATTACAATACCCTATTATTTTTTAACCAAAAGGGAGGGGTTGCTTCAAGTTGCTATGTTTTTGGACCACAGCATCTACATCACCTTGGGAATTCCGGGAACTGTAGTCAACAAAGTAGCTTATGCAAATTCTGTCCTAGCACCTCTACTTGAGAGCCTGTAGCTTTCCATCAGTCTATGTGGTTATGATAGATAAACATTTGCTCTGGACTGTCCATTCCTAGGCTCCTTGTTGAAATTCTGGCCAATTAACATGTTGCATTTGTACAACTGGATAGTCTCACTGGGATAGTTTGAGAACACCTGCCAAAGGCACTTCTGTCATCTTCAGCTGAGAACTCTGATAGGTCTGGACAGCCTTTTTCCCTGTCGGTTCATTCCTTTGCGGGGGGGGGTAACTTGTCAGTAGCCCCATGTCAGAGATGAGAGAGACTAAAGCCAATGGTGGATGAAGCCAGAGCCAAAAGTAGGCAAGCTACCCCTTCTTTTCTCTCTTCTTCTGCCACAACCTTCTCCACTCAACATGATCTTTTCCTCTCTCCATCTACTGATCTGGGATTGAAACTGATCACTTGAACAGGGATTTTAAAGCATGGCTGAGGCACTTGCTTCAAGGATGATAGTTGTATATAGCCAGTTGGAGACAGCTTTTGATTTGAGGTTGAGGGCCATGTGAGATAGGCTTGAGGGTTGCATGAGGCTCTAAAGCTTAAAGGCTTCCTGCCCATGCTGCAAAACATTTTATATGTACACTACGTGTTATGTTTTATACTTTATCTTCTTCCAAGAAGCGACACATATTCCTAGTTCTCTCTTAACAAAATGCATGTGAGTTGGGTTAAGTATGAAAGATAGTCAATGACTCACAGTCACCCAGTAATGTTTATGACTGAGTGAAGATTCAAATCCAGATCTTTCTGGTCCTTATCTGAATGCCAGGGTGATTCCCAGTGTGATGCAGTGGATAGAGTGATTGACTAGGACTCTGGCAAACAGTTTGAATCCCCACTTAGCCATCAAAACCCACTGGGGGAGCAAGTGTGCTTTTTAATCATAGGCAACCATGTGCAAAACTTCAGCTTCCTTTTTTTCTGATCAGATGTAGCAAATGGATTCTTGTTACTATAACATATACTCATCTCAATTGAATTGTGTAAGCAGGGGTGGGGAACCTGTAAGCCACCAGAAGTTATTGGACTGCATATGTCTGTTATCCTTGGCTACTTTGGCTAGGACTGGTGGTAGCTGTAGTCCAACAACATTTGGATGTTCATGCTTTCCACACCCACACCGTAAGATTGGCATTATGAGGTTAAAAACATGAAGAATGAGCTCTTGGTACATACACCCCCAGTTGGGCATGCATTTCAAAAACTTCTCAGCAGACACAAGCTGCAGTCACCAGCATAGGCATCTATCAGCATATCAGGTCAGTCATGTCCTGGGCATAGATGATCCAATCTATAATTGACAGAGAGACCAGGTACTTTTGGCAGATCAACAAAGATTGCTGCTGAACTTCCCCAAGAGAGGAAAGAGGAGAACAATTTACTGAACCC